TTTCGCAGTCTACCCTTATCAAGGATCAGATTGTGAGACACCAGGGAAGCTCTCCAACTCCGATTTTAGCTGCTGTCGACCAGCTTTCGAAGGGAATGCAAGCGGTTTCCTATCGGGTTATCCTTTTGAGATCCGAGGTACGGACACTTCAGGAGTCTAACGTAAGGACTCTCCAAGCCCCGCAGAGCCAAACGGACGCATCTCCAGGAGATCGGGGCTAATAATGTAAGCCAAACTAGGGTGAAAATTGCAGAGACGGGCGTGGTGGAAGAGGAAGGGTGCGTCGACGAGGAAAATGAAAGGCCATCAAAGAGACGTCGGACAGGTCTGCGGCTCTGCGGCATCTGCCGCAAGACTGGCCACAATGCAAAGATATGCCCGGAGGCCGGAGAAATATATATTTCAAGCGAATCTAAGTGATCGCAATTGATTTCATAAGTTTTGGTGGACTTCTGACAAATTTGGAGTGGTGAGGTCTGGAAAAGTGTGCCACTCAAGGGGGCGCCACTTAGTGGGGTGTGTAACGGCCACCATTACTGCATACAAGAGGTCGAGCCTCCGTGCCGGCACAGAGTCCGCCACTCAATGGTGGCCACGTGACATCTGGTTATTCGCGGTGATTAGGGGAACGTAGTGATTGGGTAAGTTGAGACGGTTGGCATCACAATAATGTTGTTTATAATCTAGGTTATCTTCAACAAGGTCAAAACGTTAATGGCAAATATAAGATCATGTGAACAGGCGTATAACACATATTGATCAAGGTCTATGTTATCATCTTGTGGACAACACGTTCAATAGCATAAGCATGTGAAAACATGTGAACAGGCGCATCGCTGATGATCGTGCATTCAATGGTGACAGTTGACCCTGAGGCACGTCATTTAGCCGTAATGTTGATCGAGATCTATGTTGTCATTCGTAGTCAAAGCGTGACTGGCAAAGCATACGAGAACATGAGGTCGTCTGACGGCCTCGTTGTCGTCCGGGCCGTCTCGTTCCTTGAGCCAACTCTCTATCCAGGTCCCCTCCGTGTACCACGTCTTCAGTGGCTCCAGCGACCTCCCAAAGACAGGGCCATCAATGTACTTGCTGCACAACACCACTATTCCTGCGGATATATAGGGTAAAATACTGGTTAACTTTGTCTCTGAGTTGTTCTGTGCAAGTAAGAACAGATTGCAGATAACAGGTGTATTTTGTAAAGCGGTTGCGCATCACACCCATCACTGCTGCCGCCATGCACTCATGTATGATGCTTCCGCCAGCATCCTTAAGCTACAGATGGGCCTTGAGTAAGTTTTAGTATGTGTGATGCCGCTGAATCGTTCACCGCTAAATCGTTCGCTACTCATTAGGAAGCAGGTATTCGGAGGAGTGCATTAGCCTAAAGCTCGGGAACCTCACGGACCTTAGGTTCACCGAGTAGGAACTTGCAGTCTTTGCATGGGAGATACCGCTCTCTGTCTTAGCCAGGGGCTAAGCTGATGTCCAGATCATTGAAGAGAATGGGGTATAGTCGCTGACAGACAGCATTTCGAATCCGACCATCACCAGTGGTGAAATTGGTGAAGGCCTCTCAGCTTACAAACGCGGCCACGCGGTAACTCCAACAAGCCAGCTTGGGTGGGAACACCGTGCAAGGCCACACCTTGGCAATACGATCTTTTGTCCCTATCCCCCTCTTTTTTCATATTGAGGAGCACGGGCGCGAAGCAGCCGCGCTGGACCTTGATTATGTGGGGCATTATGGGGCAGGCGTGTGGCCTCGAACGCGAGAGCATCCCTTTGTCTTATGGTTATTACGAGCTGGGACATGCGTTCATGGCGTCATAGCTACGTCGGCGGCGCTTGGTCTCACGAATATCCTCTTAACGCCCTCTTCCTTCTGCTGCAGTATAACTAGTGCAAACTATAACGCATGTGAATAAAAAAAAAAGGTTCGATTATAGAGCAAGGCAGGCCCCACTGAAGAACTAATAGAGTTAAGGTGTCCAGGTGCAAGCGACCAAAGGCGGAAACATGCCTAGTTAACTACTTATATACCGAGGATTACTCTACTTTAGCCGCTAATAATCATCTTCTAGGATTCAATCACGCATCCCTACATCAGATCCAATGACGACCCCAAACCACTGGAGTGAATCCATCACCTCTCGTCATACCTGACAACATCATGAAGCTCACTGCCCTTATAGTCACCCTCCCCGGCAGCGCACTGCCTGTTGTGACCTAGAATGTCGCCCCCGTTAAGCGGCAGAGCCTTGAGGCTATCACCGACCAGTACCTCTTCAACCTTACGCTACCCCAATTCACTGCGAAACGAGATGCCCGCTCGCCGGCGACACTAGACTGGCGCTCCGAGAATTGCACGCTGGCGCCCGACAACCCGCTCGGGTTCCCCTTTGTCCAGGCATGCCATCGCCACGACTTTGGCTACCAGAAGTATCAGAATCAGAACCGCTTCACAGAAGCCGCGAGGCTCGCAATTGATAACCAATTCCGAATGAGTAATTTAAATTTTATCTAACGTGATTCACCATTGACTCGGACACCCCATTGAGTCGGACACATTTTCCGGACTATGCCACTACAAACTGCCAAAAGTTCACCAGAATCTGATGCAATCAATTGAAACTACTCAAAATCGCTTAAGCTATCTATTTCTCCAGCCTCCGAGCATGTCCTTGCATTATGGCCAGTCTTGCGGCAGATGCCACAGAGCCGTAAACCCGTCTGACGCCTCTTTGATGGTCCTTCAATTTCCTCCTCAACGCGCTCTTCCTCGTCCACCATATTATTATTCCTACACCGCTGTGCCCTAGGGCGTGCCGGACCTTCAACAACTTACTATACAGGAAAACCGCGCCCTCGTGGGCCGGGTGAAAAACCCATATCGAAAATCAAGGAAACGATCAGTGTGTGATCCTGCAAATACAAAGTGAGAAGGCCTCTTGGCCTTCGAAGGAGAGGGATATCAGACCGCGAGGTCCAGCTCCAGCCTCCTGGCCAGACTGTACATCGGCAGTTTCCCCGAGTCCATCAGCCAGTCCAGGATCCTTCCCGTTAGCCGTGCAGCTTTGGGACTGATTCCCCGTAGGGCAGAATAAAAGTCCCTTCGCGTTCTGACCTCGGCTCTCTCCCATCTTCGAGTCAACGGTGGGGCCAAGCACCATATCACAAGGTGTTCGACAGTCTCTCGCCCCTCTCCACACTCGCATATAGGCGTCAGTACCTCTGGGACTCTCCTTTCGAATAAGAAAGCCCGAAGGCCTATGGCCCCGGTTCGAATCTGGATCAACAGTGAACTCTTCGCTCTGCTGAGGCCGTCGTGTCTCCTTAGGGTTTTGTCTTGAAATAGAGTCTCATGCTGGTGGTCAATGTCATCTGCGGGCCTTGTTGCTGTCCGGCCGTCTCGTTCCTTGAGCCACCTCTCTCTCCAGGCCTCCTCCATGACTCTGTCCGTGTCGGCAGTCCCTCCCGTCCAAACTGCAATTGTGTTGGCGGCTTCTTCTACCGCTGTGGGCTCCTGCGGCCCAAAGGCACGCGGTCGGCCCCTGTTATCCGTCCTCGAGTCGAATATCTGATATATCTTGCCGCAGGCCGCATGAACAATGCTCCCTGCAGTCTTCTTTCCGCCTCGGCCGTCGGCTAGAGTGAGCATTTGAAGCCGGGCCTCAAAGTCAGCCAGTCGTTTGTTGAAGTAAAGGTCCAGTGGCAGCACCCATGTCTCCGTTTCAAGGTTCCGAGTGGGTGTGGACTTGAAGGCTCCTGCCATTATCCGTAGACTCTTGTCTTGAACTTTTCCAAGCGCCCTGGTGATCCCTCTCGTTGCTGGCTCACCCCCCTTCTCGGTAGGGGTGTGAAAGAATGATGCGCCATACGCTAGCGCTGACCGGATGCATTTTGAGTATACCTCTCGTGCTTTGGCCAGTCCTAGGCCCCACGTTTTCGCCGTAATCCTTGACAAAGCGTAGCTCTGTGTTTTCAGCTTCCGCTCTACCCCTCCTACGTGCGCCTTCCAGTTGAGTTTCCAGTCCAGCCAGACCCCTAGGAATCTGGCCGCTGCCATGGGCTTCAACGGGCTGGTGCCTCCTCCCGGCTATGCAAGTTCCAGCTGGTCAGTCCACTGTTTGCGCCCTCTGTTGAAGTGAATCAGCTCGCTCTTTCCCGGGCCAAAGGACATTCCCCGGGTTTCTGCCCACTGCAGGCACGTCTCCCACGCTGCCTCCAGCTGTCGAACGTTAGCCTCCGGCTCCCGACCAAAGACCAAGAGGTTGGTATCGTCCGCAAACCCCGCTATCGCCAGATGGGGGTGTTCCTCTTTCAGCTGCTTGTACAAGGAGGCGATGTAGAGAATGAAGAGGACTGGGGATAGAGGAGAGCCCTGGGGGACCCCCGCTCGTATCGCCGTCGGTCGGGCTGCCTGACCATCGAAGTGAA